ACACACACACACACACACACACACACACCAGGCATGTCTCTCAAGTGGGTTTAACCTGAAATCACCATTTTTAAGACACATTAAAGGCATGCATTTGCATGTGTATGCCCTTAATGCACCTTAACAATGGCACTTTAAAACTATGTGAGCCTAAATTTGATACCGGCACAAAGCAGGTATCAAATTTAGGTGTGAACAGCTAAGTCACATTGGAGCATTTGTAGATGTGCTAATGCTCATTAACATGGTGTGCATCAGTGGATAGACACCATGTTAAGGCGCATTAGTGCCTCTGCATGTGTGCTAATGCAACTTAGCTATTCACACCTAAATGCAATATGTCTTAATGTGCATTAGTGTGTCCATGTGTAGACACACACGTAAATCACCTAAATGTACCTTAAGCAAAGGTGCATTGCATTTAGGCGCATGTAGATACATGTGTAGACATGCCCACAATGTATAAATATGTCTTTTGCAAGATACTCATATTATTTAAAAAAGTTGCCTGATTCTGTGAGCTGAAAGCTGCTCTGGCCTTGTTACTCCAGTCACGGATACTTCAAAGATATTGAAAGATGTAACTCAGATATTTGGCCTTAAAAAAATGTTAATGAGAACAAATTAAGAAAGCAAATACCATATATATGAATATATGTGCAGGTATGACAATTGCATACTGTTCTTGTTTTCATTAACCTTCATTTTTAGGCAGGAGAGACCTCTTAAAATATTCCCACAATCATCTGCTTCCTCCTCAGAGAAATTAACCCCAATCTTCTAAAGCTGCATGAACAGAAGACATAGAGGGTATTTGGGACATTTTTCAAACAAATACCAGGTTCCTTAGCTGAAAGCAATGTCTGATTAGACTCCCTGGGCACATCTACACGTGAAATTAAGGCAATGCAATAAACTCTGGTGGATATCACTGGAATTGCTCCCAGGTGCCTCATTTACACAGGTGCTTAGGACTGCAGCAGCCTCAGCTGACAGGGGGCTCTCGGGGTCAGCCTGACAGCTCAGGACTGCTCCAAACTAGCTCTGTGTGCTGTGGAGGAGCTGGCTGGGGTACAAGGGTGATCCAGTGTGGGCTAGCTGGCAGGCAGCCGCCACACTAAAGCACCCTTGTGCCCCAACCACCCCCATCAACGCCTACACGCGCATTGCTGCACACTAAAATACGCCACCATAGGATAGTACTTGTGTTTACAAGTACTAACCTACAGCAGAGTTA